ATCTATCTATCTATCTATCTATCTATCTATCTATCTATCTATCTATCTATCTGATTTTAACAGTGGAAACATTAACAGAATTTCTTGGCCAGTTTTAGAGCCTGAGCAAGTTCACATCAGGTATTGATGATCCCTGAAAAAATTATTATGCCAATGAGGGCTTCAAAGGTGACAACAGCACTCTAAATTAGGTGTAGAAATACTAGCAATCTACTTGGCAAGTTAGAATGGAATTGCAAGAAAAATAGCATCTTTGGGAAAATAAACATTTTCCCAAATGGAGGGCGGAATAAGTACTGTATGGTAAGACTTCTACCAAAAAAAAAAAAAATCAAAAGAAGTTACACTTCTTTAATATTATCCTTTTACCTGTATTATATTATTCCTTTGAACTCAACATGTACATTGTTTACCATGGTTATGAGACAAGTGGCTACACATAAAGAATATCAGTAACGTTGTTCTTTCCTGTGGTGTCTTTCTTTGGTCATAGATTCCAACAACATGTTAGATTTCCTTTAGGATTAAATTGTAGTTTATGTTCCTGGGCTGTTAGAAAAAGAAACTTTTCAAAATCCAAATGAAACAAGAGTGCTAGTGAATTAATTGACATTTCCACTCTTCTTCTATCTATATCACAAGGAAGGTGGATGGGTACTATCCATGCATAGGGTTTATCAAAGTTTACTCCCAGAACATTGTAGCTTAGCATTGCATGTCTAATAGGTCTTTTGTTATTATAGAAGAGGATTCACACAAACATTTCAGCAACCCTAAACCAACTTCCATGTCTGAAAAATAATTTCAAGGACATCATAGTTGATAAATTGCTCTATGGAATTCATCTTGAAGTCTGCTGAGGGCTGAGTTGTTTTCCTTCTCTTCTTCTAAAATGTTGTTGTTTTTTAAATATGACACTGCTGAATATTAAAAAAAATTAGATGCATAAAGGTGATAAAAATATCACATATATCACAGTGTTGCCTATGAACACCAAACGGCCATGGCAGGGGAATGTTTTCTTTGGATATGGTGGGTTGAGGGAGATATGTGGCATTTTCTTCAGATATTTATCAGTTGTCAAAAATAAATTGATTGAATGGAAGGAGGACCTTAACAAGAGAAATGGAACTGTCTGTCAAGGAAAGCCCAGCTAGATTTAGCCTTCAAGTATTTGCTTATTTGTTTGTTTGAAAAATGTATATGGTTCCCTATATTATATACAACAACTCAAGGTGGCT